GGACGTAAATGGCAGCAGGAACCTTCCTGAAGAGCTTGTTGGCATAAAGTTCCCTTTAGTGAATTCCTCCCCCACCCCGCTTTAGTGAATTCTGCTGCTTAGAATTTTGATATGATAACTGGAACTTTATTTTGGACCAAGAAAAAGAGAGCTCCATTCTCAGAATGGCAGACTAAAGGATCCTGGGCCTTTGTAGACTCCCATGAAATAGAATTGCCACACCAGCCTTTTGACACTCTGCCTCCACTATTTTGTATCAGAAAGAAACCTCTGTCAGGGCACCTTGTGGCTCAGTTGGTTAAGCATCCTTCTGATTTTGGCTCGAGTCATCTCTAGGTTCATGGGTTCAAGCCCCACATTGGGCCCTGCACAAGCAGCCTGGGACTCGCTTGGGAGTCTCTCTCTCTCTCTGCTCCTCTCCTGCTTGTGAGCATTCTCTCTCTCTCTCTCTCTCAAAATAAATAAATAAACATTAAATAAAAATAATAAATAAGTAAATAAAAACTTTAAACATCTGGCTCTTGGTTTCCACTCACGTCATGATCTTAAAATCCTAAGAGCCCCACATTACACACTTTCCCTCTCTCTCTAAAAAAAAAGGGGGAAAAAAGATTTTTTTCTCCCTCTACCCCTGCCCCACTCATGCTCTCTCTAAAATTAAAAAAAAATCTTTTTAATGAAACTTCTGTTTAAGCCACTTTCTTTATATGTTTTTTGTCACTCTCAGAAAAGCATGATCCTGACATTACAGTTTTGATATCTGGAATTATATACCAAGTAACAAACCCTAAAATATGTAACATTAGCTTCACGAAGGAGGTTGGATGTCCGGAGGCATGGACACAGGTTTTGGGAGCTAGAAAGCTGATGTCTTTTGATATGCAGCATGCTAACATTTTCTCTTTCACTCCAGACATTGGTCTTTATCTCTTATTTTCAGCTCCTCTCCAAGTCTTTGGATCATTGGTTAATTCAATTTTCCTAGCATTACCCAGTCAGTACACTAAGAGTGTTTAGATAGACTCTCTCTTGTAGCCACTTCCCCTCTAGATGTCTCAGCTCCATACTCCTCAGGACCGAAGCTCCAGCATTTACTGCTTTGCAGAATTCTGGCCCTGAAAGGAGAATTACAGACACAGCTGGCAAACTTAGAAATGTGAAGTTTTTTAAAGTACATTTATGGGGACGCCTGGGTGGCTCAGTCGGTTAAGCGTCCGACTTTGGCTCAGGTCATGATCTCATGGTTCGTGGGTTCAAACCCCGCGTCGGGCTCTGTGCTAACAGCTAGCTCAGAGCCTGGAGCCTGTTTCCAATTCTGTGGTCTTCCTCTCTCTCTGACCCTCCCCTGCTCACGCTGTCTCTCTCTCTCAGAAATAAATAAAAACACATTAAAAAAAAGTACATTTATGTTACAAAACAATGGCTTTATTGGCATTGTTTACCAGTGCTGTCCAGCAGTAACGCTCATAACCCATTTTGACAACAGCCAGGAAGTTGACATTAGCCAGAACCCAGCTGGGAACATAAAACCATTGTACCTCCAGACACTGTTTCTCCCTCTTGGAACCTCCTAGATTCTCTAAGGTTCATGTCATCAGATTATACCATCCACTGTCCCTCACTCATGTCATCCACACACCTTGAGAGATACTCCCCTAGAATTTTGACTCTTAGGGTCTAACGTGTGTATCAGTACCTCTTTCCTCACTATTCCTGCCGTGATTCTTAGTGATTCCAGTATCCACTGAACAATCTTCCTGACATTCAGGACTCTCCATTTCTTGACCTCCTGACTGCCAGTGGTTTTTCCCTCCACCTGACCTCAGCTGCCAATTCCGATGTTTACATCCAAGAACCGGCCGTTGTCAGTAACTGGAACTTCTCCACAGCCTCCATTTTCAAACAGCCCAATTACCAACGCCCCCATTTCCTGCTTGCTTTCCTCTAATGACCTTGCCAACAAATCTGCAACTCCGCGGGGTCCTCCTAACCGTCGTCGTCCCTGCCAGCTCTTCACTCTCCTCCGCAGCCCCTTCAGCCTCACTTCCTCAGCCACCACCGTCTGATAGCATGCATCACTTCCGCACAAACGCCCTGCTTTCCCTTGCTACAGTCTGTCTCCAGCACACTTGTCCGGGTGTTTCCCAGTCCTAGTTGATTACAACCTTCAGCTCAGTTACTCTGTCACTGAGCACAAGTGGCTGGACACGACTGGAGAAAATTCACAAGCATGCTGACTGGCGGCTCTTAAACTCATGCTGACCATAAACCTCCAGAACCCTGGGCTCAAGCAAAGCTGAGAGTGAGTAGTGAGTGCCTTCCTAACCTCACCCTCACCCAGCCCTGGCGGATGCGGGAATGCGCCATTCCCATCTCCCCTCCGGACCTGCCCTGAATTCAGGCCAGGGGCACTTCTCTGCCCTCATCTCCCAGTTCACTGGATGTGGCTGTTCCAGAAGATGATGTGACTTTGAGCAAGGCAGCCCTTAGCCAAGGGCAGTTCTGAGAGACTGAGCCCGAGCTGTGATCACCCACACTCCCTGCAGCCAGAGGGATGAGTGCCCAGCCCCCTGCTCCTCAGGGCCGTCGCCCTTCTTTGCCCTCTGCCTGGGTTACTCTTCTCCTAGGTTTCCAAAGGCCTCATCCTCACTTCCCTGAGGCCTCGGCTCAAGCTCCTCATTGCCAGAGAAGTCTTCCCTGTCCACAGTGAGTAAACTCTATCCCTCAATGTTCTTTCTTATGGCTCTGCTTTATTTTCTTCCTAACATATAGCAACACCTGAAATACTAGACATTTATTACTTTAGCTGCTAATTTTGGCCTTTTCCTGCTAGAGTATATGCTCCATGAGTATAGGGCTTTGGTTTGTTTATGTTTATATCCCCAGGGTCCAGAATAGATTTTGGTATACAGTAAGTCCTCAATATATGCTTGTTGAATGCACAAACAAAAATGCCTTGAATTCAAAGTAGCCAGCCTGTAGAAGGCAGAGTGGTTTAGGGGAAGGATCTCAGAGATTTAGAGTTAGACTTTTTTTTTAAATTTTGTTTTAACATTTATTTATTTTTGAGAGACAGAGGAGGAGTGGGAGAGGGACAGAGAGAGAGGGAGACACAGAATCCGAAGCAGGCTCCAGGCTCTGAACTGTCAGCACAGAGCCTGGCTCGAGGCTCGAACCCACGAACCGTTAGATCATGACGTAAGCCAGATGCCTAACCGACTGAGCCAGCCAGGCACCCGGTTTGTTTGTTTGTTTTTAATGTATTTATTTTGGAAAGAGAGAATGCATGCGGGGAAGGGGCAGAGAGAGGGGGAGACAGAGAATTTGAAGCAGGCTCCCCACTGTTAGTGCAAAGCCCAATGTGGGGCTCGAACTCAGAACCCATGAGTGGTGAGAACATGACCTGAGCCGAAGTCACTCGCTTAACCGACAGAGTCACCCAGGCACCCCTAGACCATTTTATTAAAAACAACTTTATTGCGGGGCGCCTGGGTGGCTCAGTCGGTTAAGCGTCCGACTTTCGCTTAGGTCATGATCTCGCCGTTCGTGGGTTCGAGACCCGTGCCGGGCTTTGTGCTGACTGCCAGCTCAGAGCCTGGAGCCTATTTCAGAGTCTGTATCTCCCTCTCTCTCTGACCCTCCCCTGCTCATGCTGTCTCTCTCTCTCTCTCCTAGAAATAAAAAAATAAAAAAAAAACTTTATTGAGATATAACCTTATTGATAAAAAAAAAAGAAATATGCTAAATACCTCTGTCAGCTATTATAACCAAGAACTCATTTTGTAGCTACTTTGTAGCTTTATAAAAATGTAGCTTTATAAACATATGAATTGCCACATAGTTAGAGAAACACTTGGCTTCTAGTTCTAATGGTTCCTTTCTTTCAGAGGGTCCCGGTAACTATTCTTTTCTTTTTTCTGAACTTGCTTCTTAGATCAGGAGTACAGTCAAGTAAATTTCCTTCTGAAAAGGAAATCTCCTCCCTCCATTGTGTATCCTCTGATCTTAGTCCTTCTTAATCCACTTGGGAAAAGCTTGTTTTTCTTTTTTAAGTTTATTTATTTATTTTGAGAGAGACGGAAACAGCACGTGAGCAGGAGAGGGGCAGAGAGATGGAGAAAGAGAGAGAACCCCAAGCAGGCTCCACTCTGTCAACGCAGAGCCCAATGCAAGGGCTCAAACTCATGAAACCATTAGATCATGACCTGAGCCGGAGACCAAGAGCCGGATGCTTAACAGACTGAATCACCCAGGTGCCCTTTGTTTTTCTTTTTTAAACGTTTCATTTTGAAGTAATTATAAATTCACAGGAGGTTGCAAAGAAATGTACAAAAGAAGTATCATTTAATCTCCCCAATTCCTCTGGCCCCTGACCTTTCACCTTGGATATTGAAGCTTTGTTGCAGATTGCTCCCCACAGCAGAACTGGTCACTTTGCGTTGCAGTAACCATAATAAGAACAACAAATAAAGGTGAAAAAGAATAAAGAAAACTGGTCAGGATCCCTCAGTTTAAGATGACCATTCCATTACATAACAGTTTTCTATACACCTTTGTAAAATTTCATTTAGAAAAAAATTTTTAGGGACGCCTGGCTGGCTCAGTCGGAAGATCATGCAACCCTTGATCGTGGGGTTGTGAGTTTGAGCCCCACGTTGGGTGTAGAAATTACTTTAAAAAGATCTTTTAAAAAATCTTTTAAAGAAAAAGAGAGCATTCTACATATACCTTGAAACCCAGATTACGGTAGCTTTTTGGCCCGTTTGGTGTGGTTTGCTTCAACTCTTCTTTGTTTTCAGTCTCTGCAATACCTGTCCCTGCCAGTCTCCAGGTGCCCCCAGTTACAGATCGGCTCACACTAAAGGGGAGGAGCTGTTTCTCAGAGTCTGCTCCTAACATTGCTGTTCTACAGCCCAGCCACCAACAGTGCCGCCCTCCTGGGGATCAAAGAGGACCCTGATCACCCTGCTGTGTGCCATGTGAATGCTATGTCCACCAGGATGGCTGGCGGACCCAAGAAATGTTTGCCTTTGATTGGATTCAGCTTTATCTGTCTTAAAATGGTGAGTTCACCATTCCAACCTACCTGCAACTATTCAGGAAAAAAATAGGGTTTTTTCCTCTCTTTTGAGAGATTAGTGGGTGGGGAGATAGAAAGCAAAATGGTTTCGGACCATACCAAGATTGTATACGCTTGCACATTTGAAATTTAATGCAATTTACTAGAGACAGAAAACAAGATTATCGTTATATCTTAAGAACAAAGATTTCTGAAAAATCTGTCAGCAGCTACTGACTTAGTTCAATAGGCAGATTCAGGGAGAAAAATGAAATAGTAATGTGATCTGCTTCCAGCCTCTAAATTCTATTTAGGATTCCTCTGGGGCAGATTTGAGTTTGGGAAATGATTTGTGCAAAATGCTCTGTATGGATTCAAATATTGCTCACATTACATACTAAAATGTTGTTGTGATACATTTATTACTGCTCTGATTTATGTTTTACATTTCCCCAAATGGTATTTTTCTTTACGGTTCTAATTCCTGTACCCTTTCTTTTCAGGTTGCTTCAGCAAACACAGGTAAAACTTTTTGAAACGCAAGTCTTCCCTCCCGATATTTGATTTTAATTTCCACTGTTAATTCTGGGGTTACCCTGAAATAGAAAAGCCATATTGGAAATACATTCAACATCTCCAGAGAGCTCCCACTGTGAATGTAATTAGTAAGACAAATGCATGGGCCAAACTTACAAGTCCTTATAAGATCTTCTTATTGAGTACGGAGATGTATGTAGCCATGGATTTTCTCAAATTAGTAAAATATTATAATGATTATCATTCTAGTCAAAGAAGTAAAGTTTTAGCCATCAATAGTGAAAAGTCCAATTTATATAATTTTTCTTATTTGAATTCTTATTTCCTCTAGAGAGGAAAACTAGACATGTTTTTGAGTAAAAGCTCAGGATTCTCTACTTTTATAAGAAAAGATTTTACACTGGTAATAGTGCATCCTTAAAATACAGGAAATGATAACTTAGAACTAGAAAAAGTCTTTCTTTTAAAAAGATTTTACCATCATTTTTCCTGAATAAGTGATTGAAGCCAAGGATAATTTCTTTAGAGGAAATTTATGTTCAATTGAGATTTCAGTTAGCTAGAGGACCCATGTAATACTGATTATATCACCAGTAAGGTCTCGTAGCAATTCAACATACATGAGAACAATTTTTATTTATTATTTTGTTTACCACAGAAAAGGAAGTACAATTAAGGCAATTTAAAAATTGGGCGGATTTTTAAAAAGATTAAAAAAATTTTTCTTTTAGAAAGAGAGAGAGAGCATGAGCAGGAGAGAGGGGCAGAGGGAGAGAGTGGGGGCGGAAATCTCCAGCAGGCTCCACACTCACGTAGAGCCCCACGCAGGGCTCAGTCCCATGAACCTTAAGATCATGACCTGAGCAGAAATCAAGAGTTGGGCGCTTAAAAGACTGAGCCATCCAGGTGCCCCAAGGATTTTTTTTTTTTTATTTTAAAGTAATCTCCACACCCAACACAGGGCTTGAACTCATAACCCTGAGATCATGGGTCACATGCTCTACCAATTGAGCCAGACAGGTGCCTCAATTTTTAAAATAAAATAAAATAGGGGCACCTGGGTGGCTCGGTCAGTTAAGCATCCAGCTCTTGGTTTCTGCTCAGATCATGATCTTATAGTTTATGAGTTCAAGCCCTGCATCGGCTCTGTGCTGACAATGCAGAGCCTGCTTAGGATTGTCCCTCTCTCTCTGCCCCTCCTGCACTGTCACTCTCTCTCTCTCTCTCTCTCTCTCTCTCTCTCAAAATAAGTACATAAATTTAAAAAAAATAAAATAATAAAAATTTGACATAGTTACAGACAGCTGACCTGGAAAATCCATGCATGTGCAATAAGCTTTCAAACATTATCTCCTGTTTTATTTTTATCGCTTACATTATTCTTTTTTTTTAATTTTTTTAATGTTTTTATTTATTTCTAGGAGAGAGAGAGAGAGACAGCGCGAGCAAGGGAGGGTCAGAGAGAGAGGGAGTCACAGACTGAAACAGGCTCCAGGCTCTGAGCTGGCAGTCAGCACAGAGCCCGACGCGGGCCTCGAACCCATGAACCGCGAGATCATGACCTAAGCGAAAATCGGACGCTTAACCGACTAAGCCACCCAGGCGCCCCTATTGCTTACATTATTCTTGAGAAACCTTCACGATTCACCAGGAAGCAATGAAAAGGACTGGTCAGCCATATACAAAGTGACTTTTTTTTTTTTTTTTTTTTTTTTAGAAGTGGCCTTTCGGTGAACAAAGATCTAGCACAAAAATCTAGTTCTGTGTCTTAGAAGGTCAAAGGAGACGCTGAGCCCTCAGAACGTGGCCCTTTTTAGTCCAACGCTATCCACAGTATTTAAGAGAAAGAATGGGGCAGGCTGAGATACCAATGATGCTATTAATTGATTCATCCTGGTTTTTCAATAAATGGGATGTGCTTTATTGCTCCTGTAGAGGAGGGTCCATTTTGGGTGTGTGTATTCTGATTATCTTTGGGTTCTGGAACAGGCTCTTTATCTGTGTCTGGCCACTGGGGCTGCATGAGCTAATCTATTTTTTTTATTCAAAAAAAATTTTTTTTATGTTTATTTATTTTTGAGAGAGAGAGAGAGAGTGAGTGATGGTGTGAGCAGGGTAAGGGCAGAGAGAGAGGGAGACACAGACTCTGAAGCAGGTTCCAAGGTTTCAGCACCAGAGCCTGATGCAAGGCTCGAACTCAGGAACTCACGAACTACAATATCATGATCTGAGCCGAAGTCAGATACTTAACTGACGGAGCCATGCAGGCACCCCTGCATGAGCTAATTTAGATCTCTAAGAGTCGATGGAATGCACAGATACGGAGAAGCAAAGGGTTTCTTTCACTTTGGACTGATCAGGGTGGTTGACTGCAAATCTAGAGAATAAAGTTCTCTCTTTCATCAAAGTGGTAAGTGGGCCAAACACAGAACTAAGAAAGAGAGAAGAACGGCTAGTTTACGGAGCCTTACACAGCCCACTCAGGCTTCTCGTTTCTTTAAGGGAAGCATAGTATAGAGGTGTCGATCTTTCACTGCTGCCGCTGGTCAGACGCCACCCAGTAAAACAGGCAACCTGTCTCTCCTGCGCTTACCCCAGACTCCCCAGAGTTTCACCGTCTAGGACTTGTCCATGGCAGTCATGTGGTCCGGCTCTTCCAAACCCAAAGCTTGCTCGTCCTAGTACACACACACACACACACACACACACACACACACACACACACACTAGCCCTTCTCACCTTTCAGAGCGCCCTCCCACACAGTATTTAACTTAATCCTTACAATAATCCTAAGATGTAGATATTTTACATTTCAAAGTAAATCCTAAAATGTAGAAATGATTAATATTCCGCATTCTCGAAGGGAAAAACTGAGACCAGAAGAGGTTAAATGACTTGTACGTGTTCACATGCAAATATAAATGGCAGAGACAGGCTCAAACCCAGACTTCCTGGATCCCAGTCCTGTGCTTTTTCCACCAGGCTCTCCTGGGTTTCATCCTGCTGACAGTGGCTTCCTGCGTGACTCCTTCTGAGCAATTGTGCCTCTCCCTGCACAGTTCAATGGGGCGAATTCTGTGGAGACCTCAGGCCCTTTGTCAGGCCCTTTTTCAGATGCCTCTCAAACCACTTCTGAATGCACTGTCAGGCCTTGTATGTTGATGTCTAGTTTGTTTGTCATTTTCCCAGGAAGTTAGCCCGTTGCAATGAGGAGGACTGGCTGACACAAAAGATCAGACGAATTATGGGGACAAAGGAAAAAAGGGTTGAGAGACACCACCAAGTTAGTTGGAGGAAAGAAGACATAACACAGGACAAATAGCTGAGAGCAGAAAAGGGATAAGTTGGTGGGGGGGGGGGATGAAAGTGGGGCCTTTTCTGGGGCTTTCTATCATGATGGGGGGAGAGGGGACATGGGTGCTTCCTGCAGAGTCACCTGCTGCTGGCCAATGGCTAAGATGAGCAGGTCTGCGACTTTTCCCCAGCGTATGTAACTTTCAGAGTTTCCCCCCTTTCGGTGGCAAGAGAGACAGTCCTGGGTGATGTTCAAGGAATGTCTGGCCAGTGCACAGTGGAGACTTTGTTCAATCCTGCAGATTGGCTCTTGCTGAGTTGCTGCCAAAGCCACCCCTCTGGGCTGTTGGTGCAGGAAGAGAAGTTGTCTGTGTCGTGCACATAGGGACTTGGCGGGTAGGGGTCTGGGGGGTGTTGGGGGGAGGGAGTTGATCCTGGTAAATTACACATTTGGCCTATAGTTACCCTTTGTCCTCTTTGCCCTATAGTTTCGTTTTGCCCTCTAGGTTTGAATTTGGCATATAGTGATTTTACCCGGCAAATGCAGTACTTTGGACATAAAAGGCTAAGTGCCGGTTCCTCTGTTTGACCTTTTCTTCCACTTGGACCTCCTACACCCAGGGCACTTTTGTGCCTGTGGATTTTTGCAATGTTGTAAATCTTGTTACTATGCTGTGTCTCCTACCCCTCACCCGAAGTGTAGGAATGCCTTATATAAACTCATGACATAAGCATTCATGTCCCACAGACAAACCGTGGCCCAGGTGAGGAAAGACCGCTGCATCTACTTCTTATGCTGGGCCAGGTGTTTTGATGGGGGGTGGGAGAAAAACTAAAAATGATTCCACTCTGATAATATGAAAGAAAGTGCGATAGAGCGATTGTAAAACAAAGAACTCAATGCTCCCTCTTCCTCCATTAGATTAGATCCCTTGTGGGAAGTGTGCAAGTGCACAAGATGGAGACACAGCCACAGCAGAGGTGAGACCCTGGCCGTCAGGCCGAGGCAGTGGAGCACAGGTGAGAGGCGGGGAGGGGAGATTGGTGGCAGCAGGGAAGGCCCGGAAGTTCACTGAGTGCCAAACCAGCGTGGAAGCCCCTGGAAGGAAGCCCCTTAACGACTCTCTCCTTCCTCTCAGAGTTCTTTCCCACAATCACTCCCTGCTTTTTCTTTTCTTTTCTTTTTTTTTTTTTTAAGTAGGCTCAATGCCCAACGTGGGACTTGAGTTCACAACCCTGAGATCAAGGGTTGCGTGCTCTGTAGACTGAGCCAGGCAGGGGCCCACTCTCCACTCTGATTTAACCCTTTGAAAAGTACAAAAGTACAAATTATCCCAGAGGCAACTGGGAAAAATCTCTTTGAAATCCCATTCCTGAATGAGAGGTTTGAGCTTTCTGGCTGTCTTCTGGAGAGTAGCTTTGCCTTTCTTTTTCTCTGTTTTGTCTTGATCTTGAAAATGAGGGCAAGGGCACCTGGCTAGCTCAGTCAGTAAAGCATATGGGACTCTTGATCTTGGGGTTGTAAGTTTGATCCCCACATTGGATGTGGAGATTACTTAAAAATAAAATCTCTTAAAAAAAAAAAAAGAAAAGAAAAGAAAATGAGGGCAACATTTATGTCTCAAGGATGACATGAAAATGATTTAGTTTGAAAAGTAAAATGATGTTGGAGCACCTGGGTGGCTCAGTCAGTTAAGCATCTGACTCTTGGTTTCGGCTCAGGTCATGATCTCTCAGTTCATGAGTTTGAGCCCCATGTCAGGCTCTGTGCTGACAGTGTGGAGCCTGGTAGGGATTCTCTCTCTCTTCCTCTCTCTCTCTCTGCCCCTCCCCTGCTTGTGCTCTCTCTCTCAAAATAAATAAATAAACTTAAAAAAAAAAGAAAAGTAAAATGATGAAAGAATAAGCTTCATAGATCTCCTAGCTAACGTACAACTTCAAAATCTCTTCCAGCTCCCGAAATACCCACTATAGATCAGGCATATTCAAAAATCAGCAACAGCATCACTGTGGAATGGGCCACAGTGCCAGGGGCCACCAGTTATCTCCTCACGGCTGAAGATGGAGACACTGTCATTGAAACCATGGTGACCAATTCCCCAGGCACTGTGACAGGGCTGAAGGCTGCGACCTTGTACCAAATCACCATCAGATCCATCAGTGCGACTGGGAGAAGCCAAGCATCGCTTCCGAAGCAGGCAAAGACAGGTAGCTGGACCCTCGTCCTCTGTCAGGCTATTGTTTGTGACCTGGATCCATTATACTGAGGCTGCAAGTACATGATATAATTTTGTGTCATTGAGTGCCTACTCAGGGCCCAGAGTCGAAAGCCACCAAATGGTGTTTAGAGAATTCAGATATCTGTGGAGGCGGTGGTATTTAAATTCCAGATGCTTTGGAAAATAAAACCCATTCTCGGCATCTTTAAGAACATCCCCATTTTTAAGGGCACCTGGGTGACTCAGTTGGTTAAGCATTGGACTTCAGCTCATGTCATGATCTCACAGTCAGTTCGAGCCCCACATTGGGCTCTTGGCTGGCAGCACAGAGCCTGCTTGGGATTCTCATTCCTTTCTCTCTGTCCCTCTGCCCCTTTTCAAAATAAGTAAATAAACATAAAAATTTTCTAAAAAAATATTATAAACTATCAGTTCCCCATAATTACAGGGATATTTTATGTAATTTCTTATAAACCTCCAGTTGAAAGTAATGCCTAATATTAAAGTTTTTCTGTTCCCCATTCCTTTGCTGAGTCATTTATGATTAATACACATTTAGATAGCCATTATTTTTTAGTGTTTATTTGTTTATTTTTGAGAGAGAGAGTGCGGGCGGGGGAGGAGCAGAGAGAGAGGAGACAGAGTCCCAAGGAGGCTCTGTGCTGACAGCACCCATGTGGGTCTCAAACTCACAGAGTTCAAGATCATGACCCAAGCCAAATGAAGAGTTGGACGCTTAACCGACTGAGCCACCCAGGTGCCCCTAGATATAATGGAACTCTACCATAAATCCTTTTCCAAAGCAAATAATTATTTTGTCATATGGATGATCAACCTCAAATTAATTTATTTCTAAATCTGAATTATCCTCTGTGGGAGTTTCCTAGTGCAAACACATGTGTTTTTGTCTTTATAGTGTTGGCTGCACCAATTCTAGAAGTAAGCTCTCCAAGCCCAGACTCTATTCTTGTGCAGTGGGAAGCTGTATATATGGCAATTGGATTCTCTGTGTCCATTATGCGAGTCAATGGTTTGGGTAGAGTATGGAAAGAGAATACCACAAACACCTCCTTGACGTTCACCAGGTTGGATGCTGGGACTCTCTACACCATAAAGGCCTATGCGTGGAACGCCAATGGTACCCCTGGGGACGACTCCACCTGTAATCAGAGAACAAGTAAGGACGTCCCAGCTCGGCCCCAAGCAATCTCTGTTTTGATTAATGAGACGTTATGCTTTGTAGCCATCCAGAGAGGTGTTAACTGATAAGTACAGAGCAGCTGGCAGAAGATATTTACATTTATTATGAGTTTATTTATAGTACGGTAGTTTAAATGCTGACTGCCTGTGTAAAGAAATGCTGCTCAGAATACACAGGGCTTGGCTTCTCCGTCTCTGATAACCAACTTATTTCAAGCATACACGTTCAGTATCACACAGCAGGGGACGACTTTTGCTAGGTTTACCGGTCTCCCCGACCCCTCCTAGGTTCAGACCAACGGCATACACAGAAAGACCTGGGACAAACAGGAACTCATTTCATTCAGTAGACATTTAGTGAGCGTGAGCCAACTTTGAGCGGGCATTGTTCTAGACACCCAGGGCAGACAAAATAAAGTTCCTATTGTTAGGGTACTTCATGCTGTGGCGGGAATCAGAATTTCAGCCACATTGCCCCAAACCTCAGCTGAGGCCTGAGGTCACCGTGGGGCTCCCCATCACCTCTCCTCCAGGCCCAGGCTGAGAAGCTGGAGCATGGTGTCTGTTCTCTCACATCCCCACTGAAGGGGGTCCTGCTGCATGATACATGGAAACCCAAACCCATCTGCTGGAGTAAGCCAAAAAGAATGAGAGGTAGAGAGAGGGAAGGAGAGGGACTTAAAAAAAATTTTGTTTAATGTTTTATTTATTTCTGAGAGAGAGAGAGACAGTGTGAGCAGGGGAGGGTCAGAGAGAGAGGGAGATACAGAATCTGAAGCAGGCTCCAAGCTCTGAGCTGGCTGTCAGCACAGAACCCAACACGGTACTCGAACCCATGAACTGTGAGATCATGACCTGAGCTGAAGTCAGATGCTTAATCAACTGAGCCACCCAGGTGCCCCGGGATATTTTTTTTTTAGGCTGAGTAAGCCACCCACTGACAATGTGGCCTTATGCCAGACTCTCACCAACCAGATGAGCTGTTTCATCCATTGGAGAGGACAAAAGAAAGGGAGGGAAGAAACCAGAAGTGTTGTCTCCAACACGCCCCAAGTTTGGAGGATGGGGTGGAAGCCCCATTGTCTATGGGTCAAGACAGAAATGCAGGGAGAAAAGGGATTGCCTTTTGTAAAACTTTCTCCAGGGTGACATCATAGCAAGGTGGCCTTGAGGTGATTCTTGCCGGGTCTGGTGAGTCAGGATGTCTGTGATAAACCAGTCTCCCCGGGGCCTTTTCTTGGGCATTCATTCATTCATTCTCTCCACAAACATTACCTGAGGGCCCACTATGTGCTAGGCGTGGTTTAGGTGACGGGGCTACAAAATCAATGCGTGATCCCTACACTTGGAGAACTGACTGTATCCTAGGAGAGACCAAGGCACGAATCAGTGGTTACAGTTCAGTGTAACAAGCACTCAGAGAGAAGGATCTACAGGCACAGGGCGGTGCCGGAGGAAGCCTCTACATCAGGCCGGGGTCAGGGACAGCTGTCTTCTACAGGTCACCATTTTCTTAAAGTTTTCCTTTTCATTTGTTTCCCATGTTTAGAATTTTCTTAGGGTATAGATTTAGCCTCTCTATCAGTTTGCCAGGGCTGTCTTCAGGATGTGCCGCAAATCAACGTAAAGAACACAAATTTGTTGTCTCCCCGTTTTGGAGGCCAGAGGTCTGAAATCAGGGTGTCAGCACAGTTGGTTCCTTCCCAGGACGGTGGGGGAAGGGTCCGTTCCCTGCCTCTCTCCTTGGCTTGTAGATGGCGCCCTTCATAATCACAGGGCGTTCTACCTGGAAGGGTATGCCTGTATCCAGATTTGCTCTTTTCATTTTTTAATTAATTAATTAATTAGTTAATGCTTCATGAATTTGCATGTCATTTCTTGTGCAGGGGCCATGCTAATCCGTATCATTCCAATTTTATTATTTAAAATTTTGTTAATGTTTATTCATTTTTGAGAGAGAGAGAAGGAGAGAGACAGAGAGAGACAGAGAGAGAGAGAACATGAGCAGGGGAGGGGCAGAGAGAGAGAGCGAGACATAGAATATGAAGCAGGTTGGATCCAGGCTCTGAGCTGTCAGCACAGGGCCCGATGCAGGGCTTGAACCCACGAACCGTGAGATCATGATCTGAGCCGAAGTAGGCTCCTTAACCGACTGAGCCACCCAGGCACCCTGATTTTCCAATTTTAGTATATGTGTTGCCAAATCGAGCACCGAATTTTCTGGCTTTATAAGGGACCCAGTCATATTGGATTAGGTCCCACCCTAATGATCTCCTCTTCACTAATTACATCTACTATGATCATTTTCAAATAAGATGACATTTTGAGGTAGTAAGGGTAGGACTTCAAACTATGAATTTTGAGGGGAGTCAATTCAGCCCCCAACAACCCCCAGTACTCTACTCATTTTTCCTGGTTCTCCCATGCCCCATGTGGGAAGAGCTGGTTGTCCTAAAACACTAGGACAACCAGCTTGGTCGGGCTCCCCTTACTAGCCTTGAACCCAGAATTACCTTGGAGCAGATCTGCGTCTGCAGGTACACTAACCATGAAGCAGGGAAGGGGTCCTGTAGGACCTGGAAGGCCTGTAGGAGAAACGTGGCAGGTGCGTGCCCTGCAGAGGATGAGCTGAGTCCCTGTTTCCTCAAACAGGGCCTTGCCTGTATAACTCACGTGTGTCCAGAAGGTGCTGGTTTCTGCTTCAGTGCTATGCACGCAGGTCTCTAATGCCTGCCAGGTGGGCCTCATTACAGCACAGATCGCCTGCCCAAAAGGACACTCCTCAAGTTTTTTCAAAAGGACAACCCTGCGAAGAAGGCATATTTTAAGAATGTAGAGGGAAGTTTTGGGAGACACTACAATGACTGCCCTAATGTATGACCATCACACTTGATACTTTCCTTCGTTCCCTTTGATTTAGAATGGAGTGAAATTCCACTCTTCTGGAAACAGTTATGACCTAAAAGCTCTTACAGAAAAAGTCTTAGGTGTCAAAAATAAAGAAGGGAAGGGTGCCTGGCTGTCTCAATTTATAGAGCACATGACTCTTGATTTCGGAGCTGTAAGTTCAAGCCCCATGTTGGGTGTAGAGATTACTTAAAAATAAAATCTTAAAGGGGCTCCTGGATGGCTCATTCAGTTAAGCGTCCGATTTCAGCGCAGGTCATGATCTCCTAGTTCGTGAGCTCAAGCCCTACATCAGGCTTGGAGCCTGGAGCCTTCTTTAGATTTTGCGTCTCCCTCTTTCTCTCTCTCTGCCTCTCCCCTGCTTGGGCTCTGTCTCCCTCAAAAATAAACATTAAAAAATTTTTCAAGTAAAATAATATCTTAAAAAGAAAGTAAGGGCACCTGGTGGCTCAGTCGGTTAAGCATCCAATTCTTGATCTCAGCTCAGGTCTTGATCGATCTCTGGGTCATGAGTTTAAGCCCTATATTGGGCTCTATGCTGGGCATAGAGCCTACTTTAAAAAAAAAAGTAAAGAAGAGATATTGTTGAAGCTACTCTGTTCGGCTTCATCTTTCAATAATAGAATATCTGACTTACCACTTAGTAATAGCATACCCATATGGCCTTTTTAGCCCCTCACATTTGTAATTTCATTTAATTATTCAATTACTTGTTGAGTTGTACATTCGCTGATTTACTCATTCAAAATATGCTTATTTAGCACCTATATGTGTTAGAGACTGATCTTATTAGATCTATTTTACGCACAATTAAAAAAAGCAAATAACAGATTAAATAACATGGCCAAGGTCACATAGCTAGTTATGAGTTTGCATAGTCAATGACAGATGTGTTACCCTAAGTCCCAATTTTATGCTTTAAATACTTGCAATTATCTACTATAATGGTACCTCATCCTCCAAGCTCTGTTAGGCCAAATCTTACTTGGATCCTTGAGGCTACTACAAAATCTTAATTGTTCCTCAAATATCTAGGTCCTCGTGCCCCAGCCAACGTTCAAGTCTCTTTTGACAGTGGGGCTCTGAAGGCTTCTGTTTCGTGGGTCCCCACGGAAGGAGTTTTCAACTATACTGTGATGGCTTCAAGTGAGTCTTCGGAGCTGAGCTGTAGCACGACTCGCAGTGCGTGTACCATCTCCTCCCTGCAGTGTGGGACTGAGTACCTGATTTCAGTTTTAGCAAGTAACGATGCGGGGTCTAGCAAGTCAACCTCTCCGGAGGCCCTAAAAACTGGTACGTGAACAAGAGGGACAAGCCGGTGTGACTGTCCTAAGGGAAACGTAATCACCTGACAATGTTACAGAACATTCTGGAAGCAATGAAAATGAAAGCCTGGTCTAAGTGAAAGCCTTGAATTGGACATTCTAAGGAGTTTTAATAACATGATAGTGAAACCAGATATCGTGCATTGGCGCCCCTCATTAATTGCTTTTCTTTATCCTTGGTAAGACTGTAAAAGTTCTAGGATCTAGTTGGAGTTATACACAACTCTAACTGTGCAGTACAGTAGTGGCCTCTTTTTTACATCGTGTTTCACAGACCTACACCGGGTGGGAGCTATTTTTTAAGATAAACGTGGGCAGTCTCTAATTCTGAGTATGTGTTCAACTGTCTTCTCACTTTCATCTTATCAGAGAAATGAAGGCTTCCATAGGTGGAGATTTACTCCTCTTTTTAGAAACATCTGTGTGTTTTAGTGATGGGAACTAACGTTTAGTGAAGAGCTACTATGTACCAGGCACTATAAATACATCATTTTATTTAACTTTCATGACAACTCAGTGACGTAGGCTGTATTATTTCCTTTTTCAGATAAAAACATTTAGATCTGAGAGTGAAGTGATTTTTCCAAAAGCACACCAATAATAAGTGCTAGAGCTAGGATTCAAGCCCAGGTTTGCCTGATTTTAATCCTCTAAGCCAAAGAAAATGTAGATAATCACAATAATATCCATTTTACCCAACAGAGAGAACTTCGTCATCCTGAGTTTAAAAGGCTTCTGAGGGGCGCCTAGGTGGCCCGGTCGGTTAAGCGTCTGACTTCAGCTCAGGTCATGACCTCACAGTTCGTGGGTTTGGGCCCTGCATCGGGCTCTGTGCTGACAGCTCAGAGCCTGGAGCCTGCTTCACATTCTGTGTCTCCCTCTCTCTCTCTGCCCCTCCCCTGCTCATTCTCTCTCTCCCTCTCAAGAATTAATAAACATTAAAAAATTTTTTTAAAAAAAGACTTCTTAACAGAAAGGAAAAGAGCCATCACCAAGCTGATGCAGTGTATTTTACAAGGAACAAATACAGCCAAGCCCTCAGATGCTTGCTTGCTTGCTTGCTTGCTTCCTTCCTTCCTTTCTTTAAGTTTATTTGTTTATTTTGAGAGAGAGAGAGAATCCCAAGCAGGCGCCATGCTGCCGGTGCAGAGCTCAACATGGGGCTGGATCTCATGAACTGTGAGATGACGACCTGAGCTGAAAATCGAGAATGGGATGCTTAATTGACTCAGCCACCCAGGCACCCTGATGCACAATTTCTTATAGTTATGTTACATGAAGGTCGCTGATAGCAAACCTGGTGATTTGGCTTCCCTTTTGACAGTTATAATCTACTCCAGATGGCCTATTAGAAATGGTTATGAGGTTGGAATGCTAGAGTGAAGGAAAAGGTAAGAATATACTTTTAAAAGCAAAGCAGATCCAAGACAGTCATTTAATGCAGGAGAGAACCCTCCAGTGTTTCCCAATCTTAGAGGCACATTAAGAGCATCTGAGGAGTTTTTAAAAAATCCACGTAAGATCAATTAAATCAGAATTGCTAGGAGTGGAGTCTGGGTATGACTCGTCTATAAAAGCTCCTCAGTTAATTCTAATGTGCAGCCAGGGTACAGTGCCACTGAAGTAATCCTGCACGTTTACAGTCCGGCGGCATCAGTTTGCATATAAAACAATCAGTCATGGGGGGCCTGGATGGCCCAATTGGTTAAGCAGTTAAGCATCTGACTTTGGCTCAGGTTATGATCTCATGGTTGGTGAGTTCAAGCCCCACATCGGGCTCAGTGCTGACAGCTCAGAGCCTGGAGCCTGCTTCAGAGCTTCAGATTCTGTGTCTTCCTCTCTCTCTCTGCCCCTTCCCTGCTTGCTCTCTGTCTCTCAAAAATAAATAGATGTTAAAAAATCTTTTCAAACAATCAGTCATGATCATGGGAACGGCCCATACTTCTCAATAAAGGAACTATATTTAGAAAGCGCTATGTGTTTCCTGGGCCCTAGAAGGTGTGAAATATATTTTAGGAGGATTTCCACTAGAGATGGCTAAAATTTTAAGAGCTTAGAGCTTGAAAGAATAAACTTCATTTGAAATTCCTTCATTCTATGCTGATCCTGGCGTTGCCTTAACACAGAAATACAGGCAATGTGAGGTGCCTGGGTGGCTCAGTGGGTTAAGCGTCCGACTTTGGCTCAGGTCATGATCTCACGGTTCATGGGTTCGAGCCCCGCATCGGGTTCTGTGCAGCGCAGACAGCTCAGAGCCTGGAGCCTGCTTCAGATTCTGTGTCTCCCCCCCCCCCCCCCCCCCCCCCCCCCCCCCGCTCAGGCTGTCTCTCTCTCTCTCAGAAATAAATAAAACATTAAAAAAATTAAAAAAAAAAAAAGAAATACAGGCAATGTTAACTAAGGTGGTCCACACCTATTTCTTTTTTTTTTTATGATTAAGAAATTTTTTTTGTTAATGTTTGTTTTTGAGAAAGAGAGACATAGTGTGAGCGGAGGAGGGGCAGAGTGAGAGGGAGACACAGAATCCGAAGCAGGCTCCAGGCCATGAGCTGTCAACACAAACTGTGAGATCATGACCTGAGCTGAAGTTGGACGCTTAACCCACTGAGCCCCCCGGGGGGCCCCATCCATGCCCGTTTCTGACATTGTCTAGCATGTATTGTGTGAGAGAAGTCTTACAACATGTGAGAATGTCTCGTTGGTTTGCACGTACCATTTGTTTATTCCTTGTCCATGGCGTGTGATACCCGGACAATTGTAAAGATATAAAGAAAATCTCTTGCAAGACTCTTATAGCTGTTCATTATTTACTGTTTCCTAGTTGCTTGTGCACCTGAAAGAGTGACCATCCAAGAAGATCCTCCAGGCCACCTGTCTGTGGCTTGGTCCAATGTAGATCTGGGTGATTACTATGTGGCCTTTGTGAAGAGTGATGATGGCTTGGAAGTCCACTGCAACACATCCCTCACCCAGTGCAGTTTCTTATCTGAATGTGGCTTCACTTACTTTATTAGTGTTTTTGCCTATAACAAGGCAGGGCAGAGTCCTCTGGGCGATGTGTTCAATTATACCACAGGTAAGTTGAACTTGATGCTTGTAAAGGGAGTTTTGAGTTCCCTAAGCTCAGCAGCAGCACAGATCACCTGTTGCACTAACTGACTGACATAAGCTACCTGGGAGTCATTCAGGGCCAAGAACAGAAAGAGAATCTCTCCTCTCACATTCTTTCCAGAGCAGGAAATGTCGGCTTCATGGACACAACCTTAACAAGGATGCAAGGCTTAGGAGTGAAAAGAGAGCAGAGAATACAGTCGTTCACACCTGCTCTGAAAAATTAAACCCTCCAAGATCCGAGTGTTCAGCATCCTGTGCAAGGTGCTGAAGGGGATTCAAACCTCCTGTCTCTATCCGGAATTCACTCTTCCCCCAAGACCCGAAAACAGAGATGCAATGGCAAGGCGCTGTCTGGTGTGGAAGGTTGTGCAGCAGGACACCTGTCCTAACTTGTCCTAATTGTCCTAACTTGACCACTAACTCATTTGAAAAATGGGGATAAAGACATTACCTTGCTAGTTCCTTAGCATCCTTAGTATGCAAAATGGGACACATAATAATGAGAGCATGAAAATGAAATAGGTCTTTGCATGTGATAAAGCACAATGCAAAGTATTTCTATTAGCATCATCATTATTATTATTCTGCTCCAGTAGACTTGGATCTTCTATACAGCAGGGACTGTTTTATTTACCTCTTTTTAAAAATTTTTTTTAATGTATTTTTATTTATTTTTGAGAGAGAGAGACAGCATGAGCAGAGGAGGGTCCGAGAGAAAGGGAGACACAGAATCCGAAGACAGGCTCCAGGCTCTGAGCTGTCACAACAGAGCCTGATGCGGGGCTCGAACCCATGAACCGTGAGATCATGACCTGAGCTGAAGCCAGATGCTCAACCAACTGAGCCACCCAGGTGCCCTTATTTACCTCTTCATCCTCAAGGCTCGTTATAGCCTTGAGGCATATGGGAAATGTTTGATTAAAAAAAATTTTTTTTAACATTTATTCATTTTTGAGAGACAGAGTAAGAGTGGGGGAGGGGCAGAGAGAGAGGGAGACACAGAATCTGAAGCAGGCTCCAGGCTCTGAGCTGTCACAACAGAGCCTGATGCGGGGCTTGAACTCACAAACCTCGAGATCATGACCTGAGCTGAAGTCGGATGCTTAACCAACTGAGCCACTCAGGCGCCCCGGAAATGCTTGATTTTTGAAGAAAGAATGGAGTGAGTGATTTAAAATAAATGAACCATATTTACAAATAAAAACATAATATCATTATGTGTAACTAGCTAGATTATAATAAATTTTACCAAGATGAAGGAATCAAATAATTGGTGCCTTTGGAAAATGGAGTAAGAGGCTATCAATCAAGTCTTAAAAGCATAGGAGGGTCTTCCAGAAGGCCTTGAACTGCATATTTAAAGATGGATGGAATGTAAGTGGGGCAAGGGCATCCCAGGAAACTCCAAGCCACGCTGGATATTTGTCAGAATTTGTCCATGACATAACATAGGGTCTGTTCTAAGTTGTATTCATACAATAATCCTTGGCCCACCTCTAGCCCTCGTTTTTATCTGGTTAGGGTCTGGAAAGAGTGATAGGATCTGGAAGTTAGATTAGGTATGATTTTTATCAGGCAGAAAAGAGGAACAGCATTCCAATACAGGGTTAGCCGTCTTCAAGGCATAAAGAAATGAGAGCACATGTAGGGTGGGGGATTGAGGGAATTGGTGAGGGGAGGCACAGCTTGAACATGTAGAGTGGGTGTAGCTGTAATGACCTTGGACATCATGCATAGAGGATTTAGCCTTTAGGTAGTGGGTGTTAGGTCAAGATCACAGGTGGAAAGACCTGGAGGAGATTCTTGGAGCAACTTAGGAGGGCTGTGGCAGAGGCTCCGGCCCTTGGAGATCAGGACTCAATGGCCTCCCCTGTGACAACCTCGTCCTTTACTGACCTCCGTTTTCTCTCTCTGCTCCTGCTTTCAGCCCCCTGTTGTCCTAGCGACATTAACCTTGTGTTAGTGTCCAGTGACAGAGTAGAGATTGTCTGGTCTCCTGTCCGTGGTGCCGAACTTTATGAGACCAAGGCTGTCGATGGGTTCCACGTGGTCGAGTGCAACGACACCGCTCCTGCTTGCACCCTCTCTGCTCTAGACTGTGACACCAAGTACAACATCACGGTGTATTCCTTCAGCGAAGTCCGGGGCAGCAATACGTCGTGTACTTCCCGAGTTGTAACCACAGGTACGAGACAGCTGTGATCTCCTTCACTGCCGTCTGAACGATTCACCCCAGCTACCGGCATGCCCTTCAGGATGGGCATTCAGCAAGAACCGTAAAACCACTCTTTGTGGGGACCATCGGAGCCCCTCTCTTCCTACAGAGGGGCAGAAGAGTAGGTAGAACAAGGCGAGTGGGGGGGGGGGGAGAAAACAAAAAAGAAGGTCATGGGGAGAGTGGAAAGCTTCCCCGGTAATTACTTTAGCCATTCAGTTGCTCCGGATTTTGCGGGCGTGGGGTGGGGGGTGGGGTGGGGGCGTCTGTATTCACAGCATGAGGGTTAAGGCTGCAAACATTCGTCTTAGTTACTTTTGCGTTTGGAGTTCAAAAATACCCCTAACATTTTCCGAAGAGTGAGATGCTGAAGGAACCTAATACCATGTTTCCACACAAAGGCGCTATGAATCTGGCCTACATGCACGTGATGGTTGAAAGTAGGGATGATCTCATGGGGGGTGGGGGTGGGGGGAATCACATTTAGACCAGATGGCACACCTGATGTCTGTGACTCACGCTGTTTCAATTAATAATCTAAAATCTCTTAGCTCCTTGCAGTCCCGAAATAAAAAACGTTTCGAAGGATGCATCCTCCATGATTCACGTGCACTGGCGATCCACTAATGACGCTGCCACTTACACGGTGACCGCCCAGGGGGAGGAAGGGCTGTATCGGTGCAGCAGCACCGGAGAGTCCTGCGCCATGGGCGGCTTGCCCTGCGGGTCCGTGTTCTCCGTCACCGCGGTGGCTGAAACACAGGCAGGGAGGAGCCTGCCCAGCTTCAGCGTGCCCCTGGAAACAGGTAGGTGGCTGCCGCCAGCCTCAACGCAGACTTCAGTGTGGTCCTTAGAAATCGTCACAAGACACGAACTTTCTTATGTGATAGACCCTAAATGTGATAGAAATACATTACACTCACTGGCCTTTCACACAGCCCCAGTCTTAGAAAATAAAACTTGCCATGTTTGGACACAGGTTCTGTAAAAATCGCATCAAAAGGCTCTAATATATTCCTGGGCTGGCATCAGAGGACGCTGCAAAACATTGATTTGAATTCACATTCCTCTGTGACATAATCTCCCGAAATAGTGAACAAGTAACCAAATGAGCTGGCTTCTGTTTTACTTCTTTGGCTCAGCCCTTTCAAACCTTGCTGTATAAAATGCTTTCTGAGTTTCAGTTTTCTGGTAAGAGGGGGAGAATGGATTGCTCAGGCGGCTGTGAATGTTAAGTTAGTTAATGCTGCAAGCACTTAGGATGGTGCCTGACGCATACACAGTAGGGGTTTGATGAAAGAAAGCTGTTACAGCTTCAAAGTGCTGTGTGTGAGTGAAATTCAGCAAATTACTTAAAGCCTTTGGATATTATTTTCTCTTATATACAATGGATGGCACGTTGGACTGAAAAAATTGAAATGAATATGCCCAATACTCAGGAAGATTCTACATATCCTATATCCTGTTCAATGGGTCCCTGAAAATTTGAGAATTGGTTGTGGTATTCTTAGGTGGCTAAAAATATTGCAAGCTTTTATATCAATTAAGTACTAGAAAATGCATGAAAAAGGCAACATATATTTAATTGCAAAGGCTATGAAATGTTATATTGCGAGAAGACGTGAGTATAGCCATTGCTTTGAAATTTGCAACTGGAATTGTCCAAGTTGGGAAACAACAAAGGATTTCCTTCTTATTCTGAAAACATTGGGAGGAAACTCACATTACCCACAGCCACTTAGTGCTCTGCGTTCTTGGGGAAAACAACCCCTACATACAGTTGGTGTTAAATGATGTATCAGAGGGAATGAGATTGTGCTTAACAAAAGGAGGTTTGGCTTACTAATTGAAGATTTGAGAAATACAGGATGTTGAATGAGATACAGACAAAACACCATTCTTGGTCATTTCCCCACAAATAACCCGCAGTGGAAATAAATCCCCCGCTTATCTTTCTCTTTTTCCCCATTCAAGTGCCGTGCTGTCCTGCTGGTCTGACACTAACTCAGGTCACCCAATCAGTAATCAACGTGAGCTGGACTGTTGGGACCAGGGCCCAAACCTATGTGACAGTTCTGGAGTCACACAGCGGACAGTCGAAGTGTCTCACCCACCAAAGCCAGTGTCTCCTGGGATGTATCACATGCGGCATCAATTACACAGTGGCATTAAAAGCGATTAGTGCCACTGGGTTGACAGCAGACTGCGCCTACCAAAGTTATTCCTCTAGTAAGTGAATTCTAAATTCCAGCTATAGAGTATCAACAAGGACTTCCACTATTTTTTTTTAAGTTTATTTATTTATTTTGAGAGAGAGCATGAGCTTGAGCTGGGGAGGGGAAGAAGGGGAGAGGAAGACTCCTAAGCAGGCTCCTCATTGTCAGCACGGAGCTTAATGCAAGGCTCAAATCCATGAACCGTGAGATCATGACCTGAGCAGAAATCAAGAATTGGATGCTCAACCAACTGAGCCACCCAGGTGCCCCTGTGTTTTTTCATTTTTTTGAGACAGACAGAGCAAGCACGTGCAGGGGAGGGGTAGAGAGAGAGGGAGAATCCCAAGCAGGCTCCAAGATGCCAGCACAGAGCCAATATGGGACTTGAACTCACAAAACTGAGATCATGACCTGAGTTGAAATCAAGAGTCATAGGCTGGGCCCAACCGACTGAGCCACCTGGGCACCCCAGGACTTTGACTATTATAAATCCAGACATAAACCCCTCCTTCTCATTTAAAAAGATGCCTGCATCTCCATCCTGCTAGCATTATAAATTCAGATTACTTTCTAAAATGTTTACAATTTTCCTCTTGACTTGGAACCTCAAAGCGTCAGCGGCTTCTGTTGGCGGTTGGTGAATTATTTCTTTGGTGACATGGTTCGGGTTTACTGTTTCTGAAGGCAGGACAGGTTTTATATGGCGCAGCTACCCGGTGCACAGAGTAACTCAGTCCTGCCGAGTTTCCAGAGAGCATTGAGGTCACACATTCTATTTGGCTTGAGTTCTTTTCTTCTCATTATTATGCTATTACCTCTCTCTTCTAAACCACTCCATCTCCTTCAATGGTTTCTTATTTCAACAGGCTAAAAAAGCACCGGCTACACTGACAGTATTGTATCTTGTTCTTCACAGAGACCAAATCATTAGGGAATAGCAGTGGAGGGTAGTGGTACAGGGTTAGCAAATAAGATTCTCTTGTATGAATCTAGTCCACTGAAGTAGCTGTTTGGAGCACCGTTTTGAAAAAAGAAAAGAAAAGAAAACTCCTGAAAATGCCTTCATAATGAGAAAGAGAACAATCACCAGTTTGTGATTGGTGTCTGCCCCAGGGCACAGGATGGGAGAGCTAAAATATAGTCTTGCCACCCCAGGGGCAGTAGAAAGAGTCTGCAACTAGGAGTCTATAGATATGGCTTCTGGGACACCTGGGGGACTCAGTCAGTTAAGTGTCCCACTCTTGGTTTCAGCTGAGGTCAGGATCTCAGGCTTGTGAGATGGAGCCTTTCATGGGGCTCCGCAAAAGCCTGCTTAACAATCTCTCTCTCCCTCTCCCTCTCTCTCTGCCTCTCCCCACCCCCACCCCCCAAACCTCACTCACATACACTCTCTCGCTCTTAAAAAAAAAAAAAAAAGACATGGTTTCTTATAAGCTTTGTTGCCTTATCTTCCCTGATGTTTCCTCGTTGGTAAGATAAATAGTAGTAACTATAGCGTGAAAGCATTTATAACATGCTACACATACGTAAGCTGTTTCGTACTTTCTTTGCGACCATTATCTTAGATTTGCTGCCTAAGTTCTTACTCTGAGGTCCAGTTTTGGGAATATGGCCCACTGCTTATCTTCACATGTAAAAAACCTTTCTTTAAAAGAAAGGATAAATCAAATGAACCTACCTATAATTGAATGCTTTAATCATTCTACAACATTTTAATTTTTGTTACCGAGTAAGCCACCATTTGGTGCCCTACTTGACACCTAATGTGTGTAGTCTGCTCCAGGCATCTAGACAAGAAAACAGAAGGACGTAGTGAGCCAGCATGGACCAAGTGTGGACGAGCAAAGCCTGGTGACTCGACTGTTGTATAAGTGACTACTTCCCAGGTGTCATGCTACTCAGCTCAGCAAATAGGACTTTTCAATTAAAGCTGAATGCAGTTAATGGGGCGCCTGGGTGGCTCAGTCGGTTAAGCATCCAACTCTCGGTTTTGACTCAGGTCATGATCTCATGGCTTCATGAGTTCGAGCTCTGTGTTGGGGTCTGAGTTGGTGGCACAGAGCCCACTTGGGATTCTCTCTCTCCCTTTTTCTCTGCCCCTCCCCTGCTTACACTGTCTCTGTCTCTCTCAAAATAAATAAATACACCTAAAAAAAAAAGCTGAATGCAGATAATATAAATTCAATCCCACTAAAATCTTGTGAAACTAGGGCATTATGAAAGATCTTAACAAGGATTCTATGCATTTGACTCACATAGCTTGAGTTGTATAAAATATGTATCTGCCAAGTGGAGATTTAAAAAAAATTTTTTTTATAGTTTATTTATTTTTGAGACAGAGGGAGACAGAGCACAAGCGAGGGAGGGGCAGAGAGAGAGGGAGACACAGAATCTGAAACAGGCTCCAGGCTCTGAGCTGCCAGCACAGAACCTGATGCAGGGCTCAAACCCACAGACCGTGAGATCATGACCTGAGCCGAAGTCGGACACTTAACCAACTGAGCCACCCAGGCGCCCCGTGGAGATTTTTAAAAAATGTTTATTTATTTAATTTTGAGAGAGAGAGACAGACAGACAGTGCAAGCAGGGGGAGGGGCAGGAGAGAGGGGGACAAAGGATCCAAAATGGGCTTTGTGTTGACAGCAGACAGCTCAGTGCGGGGCTCAAACTCAGGAACTGTGAGATCATGACCCAAGCTGAAGTCAGAAGCTTAACCAACTGAGCCACCCAGGCGCCCCACCAAGTGAGGACTTTTTTTTTTTAACATTTTATTTATTTTTGAGAGACAAAGACAGAGTGAGAGTGGGGGTGGGGCAGAAAGAGCGGGAGACACAGAATCCAAAGCAGGCTCCAGGCAGGATCTGAGCTGTCTACGACAGAGCAGGGCTTGAATCCAGGAACGGTGAGATCATGACCTGAGCCAAAGTCAGATGCTTAATCGACTGAGCCACCCAGGCGTCCCAAGTGGGGACTTTTTGACTCACTATTGTTCTCTATTAAAAATTCTTGGCTCACCTCAGCATCACACATGGGTTTCTAATCATGTGGCCCATCACAGAAAGAACTTGAGTACCCCTTCCAGTAATGCTCTAATCATATATTATTTAGGTTACTTGTTTCTCCACAGTAATAAAGGCCACGTTTATCTGATGGTGGAATAAGTGATTTGTGTCTGTTTCTATCCTCAGGTGCCTGCTGCCCTTTGGGAGTGAAATTATATAGGCTGGGCCCTAACGGCATCCGAATCTACTGGCAGGCTGCCAGGGGCTCTACCAATTACAGCACCGACCTCTACGGTTCTAAAGGCGTTTTCACATGTGCCCCAAGCGCTGGCCTCAGTTTTTGTGATGTCACCGAGATACCCTGTGGAGATGTGTATACTGTGATGGTCTCACCAGTTGCTGAGACAGGACTGAAGCTGACTTTCTGTCCAAAAAAAATATATTCAGGTAGAGCACGTCACAACCCTTTATTTAAAACTAACCCTGAACTCAATCCGTCAGTTCAGATTCAGAGCAATCACACTTATTTGCTATGTTAGGAAGGTCAAAGAGCTGTGAAATTTCTAGATGCTGCAAGCAGAATCTGGCTATGGGGAGCTCAAAATTCTTTGGAATTGTGATGCTTTCTTATTATGTGATTTGGAGACACTCCTGGCTTCACTGTCCCTTTCTTTTTCAGAAAAAGGACCAGATGCCTGCTGTTGAAATAGTAAAGCAGATTTAAAATGATTTTTCTGCCTTGAGATTCGGGAATAGATTTTTAACACAGTCTCAGAGATAATGATAAAACCCCCGAAATGTTGGAAATTAAGAGACTTGAAGTTTTATCTGCACAGGTTTGAGAGGTTGGAGAATCAGGGGAAAAAAATGAATTTATAAATCAGAAGCTAGCTTTGGAAATATGAATGGGCAGACAGCCTGTGATTGCAAAACATGACCGTCAGCAACTGCCGTCTCACCAGAGCTGGCGGAAAACCTTAGTAAATCCCCTGCTCTGTCTTCCAGCACCTTCTGCTACCCTGCCCAGGGCAATGACATATATTTTTCATATGTTTCTAAAAAATAAATTTTAAGAGAAGAGATAAGGCCCTAGAACTTTATAGGTGATCACAGGAACAGGAATCAATATTGGTTCAGAAACTTTTACTGGTAACCAGAATCTAAAATCTCTAATTATATATAGGTAACAAGAAGGCTCAAATGGCCCCTGGACAGAACCAGGCCAGGCCTTCTTCTTGCTGTTCTTGCTGCCTTTGGCTGTCATGCTCTGATTCCTCGCATTTTCATTATCATGTCCACAGAACAAGCTGGCCCAGAGTACTGCCCTATGGGAAGGGACAGGAATAGGTTCTTGAGGGAGGGATCAGATCTTAGGAAAAAGAGACTCAATACCAGTGCTTCATCATATTTGTATTATGTTTTATAATTTATCAAGTGTTTTCACATTCGGCACCTCGTCAAATGCTCAAAATAACTCTATAAGGTACATTCAACCAATTTTATTAGCTCCAATGTATAAAGGAGAAAATCGAGGCTTCCAGGCTCCCAAATCCCTATCTATAACTCTCCTCTTCTTCGAACCTCTAAATTCATATTCAGACTTGATACCTCTACCTGGAGGTGCCCCAAGGCATTTCAACTCCTCAGGGCCAAAGGGAACTCCTGATCATCTGCAGTTTCTAATCTTCCTCCTGGCATCCTTATTTCAGGTGCTCAAGCTAAAAACCCTGCAGTCAGGGATGCCTGGGTTGGGCCTCCAACTGCTCAGGTCATTATCTCACAGTCTGTGAGTTGAAACCCTGCATTGGGCTCTGTGCTGACAGCTCAGAGCCTGGAGCCTGCTTTGAATCTGTCTCTCCCACTCTCTCTGCCCCTCCCCTGCTTGTGCTCTGTCTTTCTGTCTCAAAAATAAAATAAAAACATTAAAAAAATTTTTTTTAAAAACCCTGGAGTCAGCTTCAGCTTCTCCCTTACCCTCCACATTTAAGGGATCTCCAAGTCCTGTCTCATTTATTTACTTCGTGATTTAGAAAAAAATTTTTTTTAAATATTTTTATTTATTTCTAGAAGAGAGAGAGACAGCGTGAGCAGGGGAGGGTCAGAGAGAGAGGGAGACATAGACTCCGAAATAGGCTCCAGGCTCTGAGCTGGCAGTCAGCAGAGAGCCTGACGCGGGGCTCGAACCCACAAACTGCGAGATCATGACCTAAGCGAAAGTCAGACGCTCAACCGACTAAGCCACTCAGGTGCCCCTAAAAAATATTCTTAAGGGGGCGCCTGGGTGGTTCGGTCAGTTGGGCATCTGACTTCGGCTCAGGTCATGATCTCACAGTTAGCTAGCTCAGCTAACTCAGAGCCTGAAGCCTGCTTCAGATTCTGTGTCTCCCTCTCTCTCTGACCCTCCCCTGCTCGCGCTGTGTGTGTGTCTCTCTCTCTCTCAGAAATAAATAAAACATTTAAAAAAATTAAAAAAAAAAAACATTTTAAGTAATCTCTACACCCAGGGTACCTGGATGGCTCAATCCATTGAGCATCTGGCTCTTGATTTGGGCTCAGGTCATGATCTCACAGTTGTGAGTTTGAGCCCCACCTTGGTTTCTGTGCTTACAGCGCAGAGCCTGCCTGGGATTCTCTCCTCTCTCTGCCCCTCCCCCACTCTATCAAAATATATAAATAAACAATTTTTTAAAGTTAAAAGAAAAAAAGTAAACTCTACACCCAACGTGGAGCTTAAACTCACAACCCCAAAATCAAAGATTACCGGCTCTACTGACTGAGCCAGCCATGCACTCCCACAATGGTTTTTAAATCTAACTTCTCTCCTACACCCCCTGCTGTATGATAGGCCCTCACTACTGAACTGGACTACTGAACCAGTATTCTCTTCTTGAGCTCACGCCAGCCTCCATGCTATTATCAGAGCTGTCATTTCCAGACACTGATCCAATTATGTTTCCTTTTATGCTTTAAAATCCTCAAAAGTGTTCCATTGCCCCATAGGATAAAAGTCAGTACTTAGAGCATGGCATTCAAGGCTCCTCACAGTCTGTCCATAGTTAGTCTTCCTACACTTGCACTTTTCGATAGATATTTAATGCAAGTCATGTATGAAAAAATTTAAATTTTCTAGTAGCCACATTAAAAATTAAAAAGAAATGAGTAAAATTAATTTTTTACATTTATTAATTTATTTTGAGTGAGGAGGGGCAGAGAGAGAGAGAGAGAGAGCAAGAATGCCAAGCAGGCTCTGTGCTGTCAGCATAGAGCCCAACATGGGGCTCAATCCCACAACCCTGAGATCATGACCTGAGCTGAAATCAGGAGTTGGATGCTTAGCCAACTGAGTCACCCAGACTCCCCAGGTAAAATTAATTTAATTATATATTTTAGTAATCCAACATAACCAAAATATTATAATTTCAACATGAAATCAATATAAAAATTTCACATTATTTTTTCCAGACTAAGTCCTCAAAATCTGGTGTGCATGTAATACAGCACACCTCAGTTCAGACTAGCCACATTTGAAGTCCTCAGGAACTACATGTGACAGATGCCTGCTGTGTGGAATGATACAATTCTAGGCTCATTCCACACTATCTGTCCTGAGAAGACTCTGCTCTCTAATGTGCCACATGGAATCATTCGAATACACCTGCCCTCACCATACACATATATCATGCTTCTGAGCTGACGCTGCACTCTTCTCTTTGCTTGGAATCCCACCTCCTCCAAGGGAATTTCCTCGCCTCTGTTAAGTCTTCTCCAATTTTTTTAAGTGGTTATTTATTTTTGAGGAAGAGAGAGCAAGCATGAGGTGGAGGAGGGGCAGGGAGAGGGAGACAAAGGATCCAAAGCAGGCTCTGTGCTGACAGAAGACAGCCCGACTTGGGGCTTGAACTCATGAACTATGAGATCATAACCTGAGCCGAAGTCAGATGCTTAACTGACTAAGCCACCCAGGCACCCCATGTCTTCACCAATTCTTAGAGGCTGAGTTACTCTTCTATGACCCCATATTCCTTTATCTTTACCACACCACACAACTGTGAGTTGAGAATGTGTTATTTCCCATAATAAATGGTAATCTCTGGACTCGCAACATGTAGCACATAACTATCGCCAATATATTTTAAATTAAAAAAAATGAATAAATGAGTTTATGTATTTGCCTATGATCCCACCGCCAGTATGTTAGCCACCAGAAGTCCTTGTTAGTTAGAATACCCTCCGGGCACCTGGGTGGCTCAGTCAGTTGAGCATCTGACTCTTGATTTTGGCTCAGGTCATAATCTCACAGCTCGTGAGGCTAAACCCTGTGTCTTGCTCTGTGCTGACAGCATGGAGCCTGCTTGGGATTCTTTCTCTCTGTCCCTCTCCTGCTCGTGCTCTCTTTCTCTCTCTCTCAAAATACATAACTAAATGTAAAAAAACAAAAAAGAACTCTAATACCCTCTGTCGGGGTGTCATCTCAAGCCTGCACCATTCCACATTAGAAAAGATGGGCGTCTAGGGGTGCCTGGGTGGCTTAGTCGGTTAAGCATCCGACTTTCGCTTAGGTCATGATCTCGCAGTTCGTGGGTTCGAGCCCCGCGTCGGGCTCTGTGCTGCCAGCTCAGAGCCTGGAGCCTGTTTCAGTCTGTGACTCCCTCTCTCTCTGACCCTCCCCTGCTCACGCTGTCTCTCTCTCTCCCCCCTAGAAATAAATAAAACATTAAAAAAAAAAAGAAAAGATGGGTGTCTAGATTCAGGTTAAGGAATCTGCATTTGCTCCATTTCTCTGCTAAAAACCAGGCATCTGGAGGAAGTTTTTTCTTTTTGTTTTTGAGTTTCTTTTTTTTTTCCAATATCAGCGATGCCTTCCTTTGATTATTAGGATGATATTATAAGTTATAATAATGACCAATATTTATTGAATGTATCACTGTCCTAAGGGCTTTATATATATTAACTCGATTGATTCCCATGACAACCTTATGAAGCAGGTGTTCTTATTCTTTACCACTTTACAGATAAACTAAAGCACAGAAAAGGAAAGTGACTTGCCCAGGCTCATACTGCTAGAAGCTGTCTCCTCTTATCATGCAAGCTGGTTCTTATTCATTCTTTGGTTCACTTTTCCACTATTCTGAAAGCTATACCTTCAGCATCTTTATTTTTTTAAATATCTTTACCATCTTAAATATGTCAGTTAATATATATAAATGCTTTTGTTGTTATTCATTCCAGTAACCTGCTCTGGGAGTACACTTGGAATGGGTAAGTCCTTTTTCTCATGGGTGAAATAGAATTTTTCTTGTTGCTCTTTAGGATGACGTAGTGAAGCTGACTCTTTCTGTGATGTGAGTGGTTCTTGCCCTCCCCTCCCATAACCATTTCCCCCTATTAGAATGTCTTCCCTCAGATTCTACCGGTTGAAATGAATTCCTTTGCATTTGGAAGTCTTTTCAGTCTCCCAGGATCCCACAGGAAAATGTAAATATGTTTCAGACAGGCTGCCGCTTCCTCCTTCATTTCAGAGACTGGTTCCCAGCCCTGCTGTACGTTGAGTCACCTCAAGAGGTTAAAAGTAATTGATGCCTGGGCTTTATCCCCAGAAAGTGTGATTTAATTGGTCTGGGGTAAGTCTGGGCATAAGGATTTTTCAAAGCTCCTTAGTTGACCCTACAGCGTAGCCAAGCCTGAGAACTGCAGCTTCAGAGCAGGCCTGCTCCGACTTTATTGTGCATGCAAATCACCCGGGGCCTTGTTAAAACCAGATTCTCATTTGGTAGGTGTGGGAGGATCTGAGACTTTGCACTTCTAACAAGGTCCAGGTGATGCCGGTGACATTGATGCTGCAGGTCTGACCACACTTCCAGTAGCCAGGTGTTAGAGGGAACCTGTTAACAGCCTGTAAAGAGCAAGGATGTCTGCTTTGTATTTGCATGGGTGACTATGCCCTGCGGAGGAAAAGGGGGTGCTGCAAGGGGAGCTGGAGTAAGGGTAACTCTCACTGCCTCCTTGGCTACGCTCAGAACTGATCTCCGCTGGGCTATTCTAGGTCTGCTCTTGGGCAGGGCTGCAGGGATGACCACAGAGCTGTGTTCTCTGGCCCAGTGAGGAGCATGTGCTGCTTTACAAGGAATCCTTGCCACGTCTTCTAGGGGCCTGCTTGGTTTGGGGCTTTGGGAAAACCCCCAGGGAATGTTATCAACCCCAAACTACAGACAGGACACACACACACACACACACACACACACACACACACAGCCACATGCCCAGTCACACATGGCTGACTTTAGAGGGTATGAGTGGAAATGAAACTTTCCTATCAGTAAACACCACAGGACAGCCTCCCAGACCGGGACAGCTCCCCATCCAACACTTCCTTCTGCTGACGGGGATGGGGTCTGGAGTCTCTCTCCACTTCCTGTTCTGCTTTCTCTCCAGGTCCATTGCTTCTCTGACCACAGCAGGACACATACTTTCCAATTCTTGTCCCACCTGCAGATCTGAAATAAGCACAATTAATTTTTAAATTAATTTAAAAAATTTTTAAGCTATTAATTTTTAAAAGTTTTTTTTGTCTCCAGCGACGAGAGGGAAACCTGCCTGGCTTATTAAAAACAAACCATGAGGGGGCCCCCGGATGGCTCAATTGGTTAAGCGTCCGACTCTTGATTTCAGCTCAGGTCATGATTTCACCGTTGTGAGACTGAGCCCCGTGTCAGACTCTGTACTGAGCCTCTGTGCTGAGTACTAATGACCATGAGCCCTGGTCTTCAGTGAAATGTACACTACACAGGCCTGGGTCTGCAATTTTGGAAACTACATCCAGTATTATGGGAGTGTTTAACCAGTGTTTCCCTGAGCCCCAGAGGGGTAGTAGAAGTGACTTGGGGGCCTCTAGGAGGAGAGGAGTGGTAGGTTATAATACTGACCTTTCCTAACATTTTGTTAAAGAAAAAGTTGCAATGGCTCTAAAAAAGAACGTTTGAAAACCATCACTCTTAGACTTTGCTACTCATCAGCATTACCAGAAAGCTCATTCAAAATGAACAGTCTTGGGGGTGCCTGGCTGATTCAGTCAGTAGAGCATGTGACTTGACCTCAGGGTTTTGAGTTTGAGCCCCACCTTGGGTGTAGAGATTACTTTAAAAAAATGTAGATGTCCAGGCCTGTTGAGGTAGGATAGGGTCTGGGCCTCTGTGGTTCTATCAGGTTCCCAGGTGATTCTAATACTCTGGAGTTGGAGCAGTGGTGCTCTGGTCACTACTGTTTCCTCTTCCTCTGTCCTTCTGGACTGCCCCGGGCCATCACTTCTCCTTCCTTAGCGAGGTTCAGGCTTGAGCCTGAAATCTGACAGTCTCTTCAAGTAGATCCTGTAACACTCTCAAAAATAAGAGGAAGCCAGATCACTTGAGAGTCTCTACATCATACAGAATTCATTATTTAGGGAGGAATTGTACACTGTTGTCTTCTGGTTTGGCATTTCTCTTCCTTATACACTGGACTAATCAAATTGGGTTGCTAGGGGACATGGGGCTCCCAGATACACCAAGGGAAGCCTTAGGAATCTTGGTGGTCTGAGACTTTTGGTCTTCCTTGGCTCTCGGATTATGTTAAAGCTTTCCAACAACATGAGTGGATCGTTTAAGAGACAGATCTGGGTTCAAATCCCACCACTATCGCTTACCCTTAAGCAAGTTGCTTCAACTCTCCCTCAGCCTAGGTTTCCTGAAAATTGGAATAATTAATTCATCAGATGTTATGAGGATTAAATAAGATATAAACTGTTGGACACAATGGCAGGCCCATCGTAAGCACTTACTTAATGGTAGTTATTATTTTTTTTTAACTTTTTAAAAGTTTATTATTTAAAAAAATTTTTAATGTCTTTATTTTATTTTGAGAGGCAGAGAAAGAGAGCAAGCCGGGGAGGAGCAGAGAGTGAGGGAGACACAGAATCTGAAGCAGGCTCCAGGCTCTGAGCTGTCAGCACAGAGCCCAACGCCAGGCTCAAACCCGTGGACTGTGAGATCATGACCTAAGCCGAAGTCGGACCCTTAACCGACTGAGCCACTCAGGCACCTCAAAGTTTATTTTTGAGAGAGAGAGTGTGTGCATGTCAGCGGGGGAGGGCAGAGAGAGAGAGAGAGAGAGAGAGAGAGAGAGAGAGAATCCCAAGCAGGCTCAGCACTGTCAGTGCAGAGCCCAATATAGGGCTCCAAACCCACAAACTGTGAGATTGTGACCTAAGCAGAAATCAGGAGTCAGACACTCAAATGACTGAGCCACTCAGGCATCCCTGAATGGTAGTTATTACTAATTAAAGGTCAGTTTAAGCTCATGTCATGCGTATTATATTATATGCCAGTTATTAACATTTTAATGTGCTTAAATCTCAATCCTCATAATACCCTAATTTATTGGTTCTCAAAGTATGGTCCCAGGGTCAATAGGGGGACATCTGGGGACTTCTTAGAAATGCAGTTTGTGGGGTTCCACTATAGACCTAATGAGTGATGAGTCAGAAATTCCAGGGTTGGGGCCCAGCACTCTTTGTTTTAACAAGACCTCTGAGTGATTCTAATGCACACTCAAGTTTGAGAACCACAGCTCTAATTCGAAGCAGCACCTTTGATGCTGGAAATTTGATGCTGGAAATTTGATGCCGGTTGGAAGAGAAAGGGAAAACTACCTGGGGCCAAGGGGGGCTCTAACAGGAAGTAGCTTGACATCCCTCCATGGAGGCATTGTTTGTCCTCAGCATCCAGCCCGCTTCCCTGTCACCTGCACTTTGGGGGGAATTTTCCTCCCGGAAACTCCCTCAGCAGTTAAAAAGGTTTATTATGTTGTCCCGACAGAGACCCCTGAATCACTAAGACTTGGGAAACGTTGGAGAACACAGCAAATTGGCCTTGGGGTAGAGGGGAGGGTGGAAAGTTCTTTGTCCTGAGTCAGCTGTCTGAACTCAAAAGAGACCCTGGGCAGGTTCGTTTCCCGAAGCAACCTAGTTAGTTATCACCTGCTGGTCAGTTTCTTCTTGCCCTCTGAACGGTTCAGATCGTCTTAGTTTTCGGTTTACTTGCTGTGAAGTGCTATAAAAACAGCCTTTCAAGGGGCGCCTGGGTGGCTTAGTCGGTTAAGCGTCCGACTTTCGCTTAAGTCATGATCTCGCGGTTCATGGGTTCGAGCCCCGCGTCGGGCTCTGTGCTGACTGCCAGCTCAGAGCCTGGAGCCTGTTTCAGTCTGTGACTCCCTCTCTCTCTGACCCTCCCCTGCTCACGCTGTTTCTCTCTCTCTCTCCTAGAAATAAATAAAAATATTAAAAAAAAAAAGACAGCCTTTCAAATCAAATTACTAAGCTAAATTTCAGAGACACTTGAGGGCTTTTTAATTTAAGAAAATGCCTGTGTATTTAATGTACCTTGTGCCTTCTTCCCTTCCGTGCCTGAACTTTCAGTGATTTACCGAGGGAAAAGAAATGCAGAATGACACACTGAGCCACAGACAAAAGCAGAGGCTGGACCTAGTGAGTAACTTAAATTGAAATGGTGTGATTCAAAGGCAAATGCTTTTGGCTTTGTTTTAAAAAATTCTTCCCATATCTTTTGCAGAGTGGACTCAGTTGTTGGTGTGATTAGAGGTGGAAAAGCTCTACTAGAACACAAAAGTACCTCTAGGGTAGGATAAGCTCTTTTGGCCTTTAGAAGACAACTCAGACTCCATTTCCTGTAGGCAAGCAAGGTCAGGTGTGTCCTCACCTGCGCTGGAGTTCAAGCTCTGCTGCGGAGAGGACTCATGAGAAATGAATCCAGAAAGTCCTCCAGAAGACTGCCAGAGTGAGCTAGCACACTGGGAAAGTTCTGGAAATGTGAAAGGTCTGCTTAACAGAAACCGCTTCTGAGATTTCATATCCAAACACCACACAGACTTCAACACATCCATTTCTTAGGTATTTCATGGACACCGTTGCCATGCATTCCCCCTTCCCCCCCCCCCCCCCACCGATTCAAAGGCTGTAGATGTTCACTTCCTGGAGAGCTTGAAATCAAGTGTTCATCTCAAGACAGACCTCCAGCAGGACCTTGGCATAGTTTGGAGAGCAGCAGCCGGCAGGGCAGCCTGTAGGAACAAACACCCTCATCTCAAATTAGGAGGAAGCCAAGTTGCTGGCAGTGTTTGCCAAGAGAAAGCGTCGTGTGACGTTACCTCTGTGCAAGCTTCTGGGAAAGCCGAGCTGCCGGCCTGTTGCTAGAAGGATTGCAGTCGTGGTTTTGGGTGAGCAAAGACTTCGATGGTGGACTGGCCAAGGCAAAGCCTTCCACTGTGGCAGACTGACATCTATGCATCTTTTGCGGGGAGGACCATCAATCTTGCTGGTGGTGTCCCCCACTCACACTGTGTTAGGAGATAAAATATAAATCTGTTGTACCTAGAAAAATGTTTGCCCTTTGAATGTTGATAACATTATTAAAAAATAGGGTGAGCGGGAAATGCATAACACACATAACCACACTGTTACTCCCCAAAAAGCAGAGCCATGGAGCCAAGAATGTCTGTAGTTAGGCACAACCGTAAATCTCTGCCCAAAGGGAAGTGGAGCATGCAGTTAAGGCTTGAGGTAAACTGGGAGGGAGGGCGAACTTTTTTTCCTATGCTTCCCTTCCCTTTCTGTGTAAGACTGAGGGGAGATACATAATGTGACACTGATAAGAGCATCTGCTCTTGAAAAGGAGGCAAGACACAAATCTAAAAAAATGGAGTTTGCTGCATCAAAGAGCACCAGAGAGGAGGGTTTAATTCACTTTTGTTCTTTTTCTAAAAAAATTTTTAATGTTTATTCTTGAGAGAGAGACAGACAGAACATGAGCAGGAGAGAGAGGGAGACACAGAATCTGAAGCAGGCTCCAGGCTCTGAGCTGTCAGCACAGAGCCTGATGCGGGGCTCCCAGGCACCCCTAATTCACTTTCGTTCTTAAAAAATAATAATTCACTTTTGTTCTTTTTTAAAGTTTTTGTTTGTTTTTGAGAGAGAGAGAGAGAGAGAGAGAGATCAGCAGAGGGACAGAAAGAGAAAGAGAGAGAGAGAATCCCAAGTAAGCTTCACGCTGTCAGAACAGAGCCCAATGTGGGGCTCGATGTGGTACTCAAGCCCACAAACCTTGAGACCATGGCTTGGGCCGAAATCAAGAGTCAGATGTCCCACCAGCTGAGCCACCAAGGAGCCCCTTACTTTTGTTCTTAAACGCTGGTATATAAACAGGAGCTGGACTAGGTGCATCCACATTATTGGGAAAACTCATTGCTTAATAAAAATTCCCAGATATCACCCCTGGAGATTCTAATTCAGTAGGTCTGGGACCAGGCTGGGGAATCTATATCTTTAAGAAATTCACCAAGTGACATGTGGCTAAGTTTGGGAAACTTAAATGGTTTGCAGTGGTGTACTCCTCCTTGAAGCAAAATTTCAGTGATGAGAAGCTGAGAAGTGTTAAAAGATAAACTGAAGAGTATTAAAAAATTTAACAGTTGGGGGGCGCCTGGGTGGCTTAGTCGGTTAAGCGTCCGACTTTCGCTTAGGTCATGATCTCGCGGTTCGTGGGTTCGAGCCCCGCGTCGGGCTCTGTGCTGACTGCCAGCTCAGAGCCTGGAGCCTGTTTCAGTCTGTGAGACTCCCTCTCTCTCTGACCCTCCCCTGCTCATGCTGTCTCTCTCTCTCTCTCTCTCTCCTAGAAATAAATAAAAAAAAACATTAAAAAAAAAATAAAACATTAAAAAATTTTTTAAAAAATAAATAAAAAAAATAAAAAATTTAACAGTTGGAGCAGAACCTGATTCTAATTCAGCACCAACAAAACAGAAGTGGTTAGGAGTACACCACTGACAGGATCTCAAGGAACGACTTTCATAGAAAAGAGACAGGAGCAAAGAAAGGGTACTGTTTGACCGGCTATAGCTTAAGTGCTTTCTGTATTTGGGAATGCCTAATTGGCTGTTTGATTGGTTGTCCTTAGATTTTGATTTCTTAATCTTGAGATGCTTACAGGCTCAGGTTTTGGTTTGCTTACACGGGCTGCTAAGGCATTAGAACCACCTCAGTTTAATGGGCTTCTTGTTTAATTTAACACAAGCTAGAGGGACATGGCACGTGAGGAAAGATTTGGTGAGCAGATCTGGAGGGGTCCATGAGGTTCAGAGTGGTTCCATACCCTATGAGGACAACCATGAACTGAGGCAGCATTCTGGGCTGTGAGCCAGGGCCCATATAAGACTGTGTGTTGCTAGCAGGGTGTTCTCTCTGAATACACTTGTGTCTATGGCTGATTGAAATGGCTGGAAAGCCAAAGGCCAAGGCCAAACGAAGGTCAGAACCCCTGGTTCTAAGGACACTAGGGAGCTGCGTCCTATACACCTGTATTTTATGAATACCAGGACACAGAAAATGAAATGGTCATCTATCATCTATTTTATTTATTTAATTTAAAGTTTATTTATTTAGAGAGAGAGAAAGAGAGAGAGAGAAAATCCCAAGCAGGCTCTGCACTGACAGCCTAGATACGGGGCTCAAACTCATGAACTGTGAGATCATGACTTGAGCAGATGTCGGACGCTTAACTGACTGAGCCACCCAGGCACCCCATCATCTACTTTAACTAGGCATCTGAGGCTGAGGTACTTCGGTCAGAATTCCACAGAAGACAATGTGGACCATGCCAGTGAACATAAAACCAAAACATGGATATAGCACATACCATGTACTTCTAGGTGCTTTCCACATACTCATTTCATTCTTAAAACAACTCTATGAGCTAGATAATATTCTTTTATACAGGTAAGGATAATGAGACTCAGAAAGGTCAAGTAACTCACTCATGTTTACACAGCTAACCAGTTGAAATACAAATTCTCAGAGCACCAAGTAAATATCCATGATTTTTTTTTCATGATATTTTTGTGGAGAATATTTCTCTGGATTATCATGATTAAGTCAGCAGTTGTTAATGAAAAAGACCTGAGAATGAGATGTTGGGTGATTGCTACCCTAACTCAAGAGGTTTTACATTCAGCCCTTGGTTGTTCTGGCTGTTTTTCTGCTTTTTTGAGCTCTAGGTTCTTGTTTTTTTTTTTTTTTTTTTTCCCTGCAAAGCAAATTTTTGCGTCTGACTTGTGTTGTTGGACTTTACTTTTAATTCTGCCCTGTCATGTTCAGGGAATTCAGATTCCTTCTTTGGGGTGCCTGGGTGGCTCAGTTGGTTGAGTGTCCAACTTTGGCTCAGGTCATGATCTCATGGTTAGTGGGTTCGAGCCCCGCGTCGGGCTCTGTGCTGATGGGCTCTCCAGCTTGGAGCCTGGAGCCTGTTTCAGATTCTGTGTCTCCCTCTCTCTCTGACCCTCCCCTGCTTACACTCTCTCTCTCTCTCAGAAATAAATAAAACATTTAAAAAATTTTTTAAAATTCCTTGTTCAATTTGTTTAGGCAAACAAAGTAAAGGAGATAGAGGGATAGCTCAGGGAGGTTGTATGAAACTAGAGCAGCAGGGAGGGTACGCAATATGGTATGATGGAAAGGGCAATAGTCTTGGAGTTGTCCTGAGGTCTTATATGATTTATTTAACTTCTGAATCTCAGTTTTCACATCTGTAAAATGGCAATAAGTATTTTCATCTTGTTGGGCTGTTGTGAGGTTTTAGATGTTATTCTCATATTTAACACATAAATGCAACCACACTGCTACTAAGAGGCAGAGCCAGGATTTGTAGGTTGTGGACCCGTGTCTTTGTGCAGCTAAGGACCACATTTGTTCTACTATAACACACTCCCACCTTGGAATCTGGCCTTCAGGGGCATGAACCACAGCTGTACTTCATGTGGTCTGAGGCAAACTTCCAACCCCACAGGGCTATTCCGTGTCATTCTCTGATATTTGGTCATTTTCCTCAAGGTAGGAAGTGGAGGCACTTTACCCTCCTCACTCCTCTGTCTTGGTTTGATTCTCTAGGGCAAGGAGCTCCATTTTAGAAGGATGAGTCTGCATTGTCATGTCTTTTTCTTGTTATGGCTTGGGGCTCCACCCTGTTATGCTAAGCAGATTCTGATTTTAAATTGAAGAGGGAGAGGGAAACAAATGTGTTCATTAGTTTAAAATTCTAAGCAATTAAGTTCATTTAAGAGGTCAGAGCTCCAGCTTCCATCTCCATATAAGCCATGAATGGAAAAACCATTAATGCCACAGGCCGTGCTTAAATCTATTTTATGGCTGCTTTTATTCTTCATTCTCTCTCTGTCTCCTAAAGAGCAAATACTGCAACTTATCCCATAGGCCATTCTATTGCTTTCTGTGTAGCTTATGCCTTATCCTACTTCCCACTATACCACAAGCTGAGCACCCTTGGGAAGGTCTTTCACTGAGGATCAGTTTCCTTGTCCGTAAGGGTAATAATCCACTTACTAAAATACCTTGTATTTAATAAGCACTCAGTAAATATTAGCCATTATTATTAAGAGTATATTTCCATCTTGAATTAAGACCACTGATTCTTGGCAAAACTATGGAAAAGCCTACTTTGTGACAGTGTAAATGATGGTTAGTGACAGACGGGGCTCGCAGCAGCTAAACTGATTTCATTCATGATTGATCTTGATTTCACCTCAAAGGAACCATCTCAGGAAATAGTTCTCTGCCTAAACTTGCTAAGTCTAAGATCAAATCTCCTCCTTTTTGAATCCCCTTTTAACGATAATCCCTTCTTTTAAATCCTAGAGCGTTGATGTCCTCTCCCACACAACTTTGCACATGAATTTATGCTTGTTGAGAAAATAATTATTGTTTTATTGGTTCACTTACGTACATTGTCATCATGAAGGCATTAGCTTTTTCAACGAACTTTCTACTACCTTCAGCATTCCAGGCAGGAATTGAGTTCTCCAATGAGATGTATAATTCTTCAGAAGTGGGTCTCTCACTTCTTTGAGTTTCTTGGAAGTCCTGCATACGTCGGGGCATATTGGAGGGGACTTCGGAGTTCTACAGAATTATTATGTCCTCGAAAAATGAATACAATAAACTTTTAACGGGTAAATTTTCTGTTCAGTAGTTGAAGGGGCTGCTGAGTGACGTCTATTATGAACGGCTCCGCCAAGAGTTAAGCAAAAGAACGACCCCTTCCTTTTTCAAGTACCGTCTGCGTGAATTGGAATTTTTTACATCAGGTAACGCGCAGGCACGATTTCGCCTTTCGACGTCACAGGTCCTCGAACTTCGGCTGACAGAGAATCCCGCCAGGGGGCGCACGACAGCCCACACAGATTCCACCCGCACTGCGCAGCCTCCGTCCAGGCGTGGGCGGGAACCCCCTGGCGGTCGCGCGTGACGTTCCCAGAGGGCGCGGTCCGCGAGTGGAGGCGGGGCCACCCAGCTTCTTTCTCCTGGCTGAAGTAGGTTGCCAGCGGGAGGCGGCGGCTGCTCCTCCGCAGTGTTGGGAAGATGGCGCCGCCGGTGACGGAGAGGGGGCTGAAGAGCGTGGTGTGGCAGAGTGAGTGCGGTGGGGCGGGGGCTGAGAAAGGGACGGCCGGGAGGCCGCCGCGCCGAGCCTTGCTTTCCTGCCCCAGACCAGCAGTCTCTTGAGGAGCCGCCGCGGGCACTTGTTGCTTTGCGACCCACGTCCCTGTTGGGACTTTTTCCTGCTCTCATTCCCACCCCCTGTTTCCTGCCAGCCTCAGGGATGGGCAGGGTGCGGGAGCCTCTGGCCTTCTAGCTGTCGCCTGGCACCCCGTCGCCTCCCCCCGCTCTGGCCCGGAAGCCCCGCCCTGGGTGAGCGGCCCCCAGCCCGGCTTTTCCTCCCGCGGCCCTTGCGCCTCTCCTCGGCGGCGCGCTCCACGCTCCCCGCGCCCTCCTCTCCACCCCCCCCAACCCCCCCGGAGCCCCACCAGTCGGCGATGTCTCTCCACCCAGTACAGTCTGGGCACTGTGTTTCTGCCACCCGCCCCTCCCCTTCTCCTCACACTTGTTTGCAGAGACTGCTTATTCTGTTTCTTCATTTTAGTAACAAGCAGGGTTCTAGAACTACACTTTAAAGTGTCTTGTAAAAGAAAAAACAAAACCTGACTGTTGAACAGATCCTTCTCTCTGTGATTCTGGAGGAGCCCGCTCTTCTAAAGAGTTCAGGAGAAGGAACCATTTGGATGATTAAGTTTCAGGGCAAAAGCTGCCCCTTTACATTTCTCTCTCTCTACTCTCGGGGCCATTCCCTGCTGTCAGGGGCTGTATTACTGCTTGTTGGTTACTGATATTCTGCTCTTCTGCCGTATCACCTACGACTTTCATAAAAATCGCTCCAAACATGGGCCAGCTGGGTTAGAGAAGAAATGAAACCACCAAACCGGAAGAACCATCATTGTTTGGTAGCTGGGTTGGAAGTAATTATGGACTATAGTAGTGGAAAGGGAGTAACATCTAATTAGTATTTCTGACTCCGGCTTGTTGAGCAAAGGGTAGAAGCGACTGAGTCCGCAAAATTTTGGGAGTTACAGACTTCCTCGTGCAAGATTAAAAGTCCAAAAAAAAAAAAAAGTCCAAATCAGTAACTGGCATAGTGCTGAACATATAAAGTACTAAAAACGAGTTTATAAATAAAAGGGGGGGGAGGAGAAGTTTATGAAAACATCTTTTTAAAAATTTGATAATTATAAGGTTGGTATTCTGTTTTTTAAGATTTGCATGGGTGAGTTTAAGATTTGGTAAGATTTTGGGGTGCCTGGTGGCTCAGTCGGTTAAGCATCTGACTTCAGCTCAGGTCCTTGCAGTCCTTCAGTTCAAGCCCCACTTCAGGCTCCATACTGACAGCTCAGAGCCTGCTTCGGATTCTGTGTCTCCCTCTCTCTCTGCCCCTCCCTTGCTCACGCTCTGTCTCCTCTCAAAAAATAAACATTAAAACATTAAAAAAAAAATTTGGTAAGATTTTTATTTATTTATTTATTTATTTAATTTTTAAATGTTTGTTTATTTTTAAGAGACAGAGTGAGAGTGAGGGAGGGGCAGAGAGAGGGAGACAGAATTGAAGCAGGCTCCAGGCTCCCAGCTGTCAGCACAGAGCCCAATGCGGGGCTCAAACCCACCAACCGTGAGATCCTGAGCTGAAGTCGGACTCTTAACCGACTGAGCCACCCAGGCGCCCCAAGATTTTTATTTTATATATATACATATATTTTTTTTTAAATTTTTTTAATGTTTTATTTCTAGGAGAGAGAGAGACAGCGTGACCAGGGGAGGGTCAGAGAGAGAGGGAGTCACAGACTCTGAAACAGGCTCCAGGCTCTGAGCTGGCAGTCAGCACAGAGCCCGATGCGGGACTCGAACCCACGAACCGCGAGATCATGACCTAAGCGAAAGTCGGACGCTTAACCGACTAAGCCACCCAGGCGCCCCATTTAATGTTTATTTTTGAGAGAGGTAAAGAGTGTAAGCAGGGGAAGGACAGAGAGAGAGAGAGAGGAGGAGATACAATCCCAAGCAGGCTCCAGGCTCCGAGCTGTCAGCCCGGAGCCCCATGAAGGGATGGAACCCATGAACCCTGAAATTGGGACCTGAGCTGAAGTCGGACACTTAATTGAGCCACTCAGGTACCCTGTAAGATTTGGTGATATTTTTAAATCACAATAGTATTTAAAGTACATTTCTTTGAAAATGGGTAGTGAATTGCATTGTGTAAATAGTTTGAAAGATATATGTGGTCTTTAGCATCAGCATTTATCAGAAAAAAAAAGTTAATGATAGTAATATCAGTTTTGATAACATGGAAATTAGGCAAGAGAGAGAGTGGAGGTAACAAAATTTCCAGCTAGTGCTATTAACTTGAGGTAGCACCAGGATGTCAGGTGGAGGGTAAGATAAGACAGGAGACTGAAAGGAAGGAAATCAATGTTGGGTTAAAAAACAGTTCTTCAAATCTTTGTATAAGTAGAAACATAACCCAAACACAAGATGACATTCATTCAGCATTTAGGGAGGAGAGAGAGACAGCAAGAGAGAAGGGGGACTATGAGTTTTGTTAGCAAAAAATGACAGAGTCTGTAAGAAATGAAGAAGGAACATCCTAAGAGGTAGGAGAAGCATACGTTTGACTGGGGAAAATGTTTTGCTAGATTGAAGATAGTGCACTTGAGTCATGGTAGAAAGCTAAATTACTTAATCTTCAATTTACCTAAAATGTAGGGACAAGGAAACTTATATTTCTTGAACATTTATTCTGTGTCAGGCATTATTCTTTACATCTTTTAAAACTTGGTAAGTATTATCTTTATTTCATAGATATTAAAACATCTATTATCATAACTGTATTAATCATAATCGCCAAGAAATCAAACAACGCAAATATCCATGGATTGATGAATAGGTAAGTAACAAGTGGTCTATCCCAACAATGGAATGTTAGGCAATAAAAAGAAATGAAGTACTGATACATGGTACAGTATTGAAGAACCTTGAAAAAGTGCCAAATGAAAGAAGCCATTCACAAATAACTACATATTGTGTGACTCCATTTACATTAAGTGTCCAAAATTGACAATATATAGAGACAAAGTAGATGAGGAGTTGTGTATGTTGAGGGGAGGAGAGAATGGGGAGATTCAGGGATAATGGCTAAGGAGATGGTATCCTTTTGGATGAGTGAAAATATTTTAAAGTTGATTACGATGATGGTTACACAACTCTGAATATACTGAAAACCATTTATTTAATTGTACACTTTGGGTTAATTATATGCTATGCAAATTATATCTTAATAAAGCTATTTTTAGAAAGCTGATAGAGTTATTAAATATAGACTTAGTATGCACACCCAGATCTTTCTTTTCTTTTTTCCACACCCAGATCTGTCTCACTGCAGAGTTAATGTCATGTGTCTATGACTTTCTGTAATGTTTAAACCTTAGTTCAGAGCCGTATGCCCAGTCTATTGCAGTAGCCTCCTAACTAAGCCTCCAAGCCCCTGTTCTTTCTCACTCCAGTCTCTCTGGCCAATAGCTGCTGGCATAGTTTTCCTGTCACAGTGCTGTAGTGAGATCATGCTGATCTGTTTGAAGACCTGCAGAGAGAGACCCCTCTAATTGTGTAGAGATCATTTCAAATACTTAGTCTGCTTTTGAAGACTTATAACCTGACTATAACCTACCTTGTTATCTACCTTTCCCTTGTGTGATCTTGATGTTCAACTAGTCTGTACTGTTTACTTTTCTTAAACTCTTCTGCCTCTACATCTGTATGCCATTTCCTTTCTAGAATGCTCACCTTATGTCTGTTCTTCACCTATCCAGACTCTAGCTAGCCTTCAAGTCTTGGCTTAAATGGGGCTGCTATCACCATAGTGACTTCTTATGTTAACCCAGCCTCTTATATTTCTGTAGCATTTGGTTGATTCTTCTCAAATGGCACTTCTCACTACTGCCTAATGTGAGCATTTTGATAAGCTTCTTAAAGGTGGATCCACCATTTTTTCTTCTAGAGCTTTAAGTTTAGAACAGGTCTTAGCAAAATGCAAATGTTTGTTAAACATAAACAGTAGATCACCTTTATAATTTTCTCCATTTTTTGTTACCTAAAATCTTATTTATTCAATAAATATTACTGAATTCCTGTGGGAATACAGCAATAGAAGGCAGGCAGTTCCTAGCCTTCTGGAAGCTTGCATTGAAGTGGGGAATAATAGAAAGTAAATATGTAAACAAGGAATAAGCATGATTATTTCAGTTGTGATATATATAGGGAGAGGGGGGCTGCCTTCGATAGATGGATCAGGGAAGGTTTCTTTGAATAGGTGACATCTGAGCTGAGACCTAAAACCTGAGAGGGGATCAGCCTTTACGGACTGTCTCAAAATACTTAAAAAAAAAAAAAAAAAAAAAGAGCTTTAATATTCAGAGGCTATATTTAATTATAAACTAATTTCCATACTTAAAATCAGTGACAGTTTCTAGTGCTTGATACTGCTTACTTTCCACTTTTGACTACAGGAAAGCGGTAGCAAAAATTTCACTGATAAAAGGGTTAAATAAAAATTTGAGGAAGTTTATTTAAAACATAAGGAACAAGAGTAATTAAATCAACTACAAAGCAAGCTCAAGCCACCTGTGACATTTTTTTCCCCTATAGTATAGAAAAAGGAATTATTTCCTCTGTGGAAGTGGATCAGGGAAGACTCCAAGAGGAAGTACAATTGAAAGGTGGTAAGATTTTGCCAGACATAGGGAAATTTGAGCCACATTTGGCCCAAAGATGAAAAAGTGCATGAGTTTTATGGAAGGGGGAATAGTTCTTTTTGAGCATAGGGTTATTTGTGGCAAGGAATAGGGTGATGAAAACTAAACAATAGATTGGAGCTAAATAGAGTAGGCAGTGGGGACCCATTAAAAAGGAAAGATGTTTTTTCCTCTCAAATATCAGTCACTACCATTTTTGAGATTCTGTTGAAACATTACTGAAAGGAAGTTGTTTTCTTGTTTGTATTTTGAAGGGAAATGACTCTAAGATTTTAAA